GTAAGCTTCTGGTCCAGTGTGACGCCAGCTTCATGCTTGTGGTGACTTACTGTTGTGGAAATGAAAAATGTAGGTTGAATTTTGCCCAAACTGATAGAGTCATTATAAACGGCATAAGCTGATCAGCTACAGCCTGAATGCTACTTTTAAAACTGAAGAGTAAATCCAATCTCTGCCTCATCCTCCTCTCCATGTCTCTCTCCTCAAAAGAGAGTAACAGCTGTGAGACAAGAGCCAACATGGCCGCCTTGAAGCAAATGCAGCTGTTCAGCAGAGACAGATGTGAGGAGATCCTCGACGTAGAAACACCACCGCTGGTCATCAATCACAGCCAATTGAGGGTGAGTCCATGCGGTTGTGGGGATAAATGTACGATTACAGTACGTATACAGTACTACACAGTCAGATGTCACCTTCTGTATATGATGTGTGTGTTACAATGAGGAAATTGTCCTAATAAGTAGTGGCTTTTCTGTCCCGTCAATTGACAAGGAGGCTGTGGTAGCAGCTGTTTGCTCAACATTTGTCAAATGAAGACATATTAGAGTTTTTTAAACACTATTCTTGCTGCGGCAATGAAAGATGACATCATAATATCCTAATTTTTGGCCACCCAAAAACTGCTTGGCTCTTTGGTTTTCCAGTTTGGGACACAGCTGTCAATGAGCACAACACACGACCTCTTTGAATCACTGAAAGCATGCTGAATGATTCTAAAAAGTATTTAGAGGTGGTGTTGTTGTGTGTTTCAGGATCTCCTCAGCAGAGCCGTGACTAAAACAGAGGGCGCTGAGGTGGAGCCGCTAGAGAAGCTCTACGCTCTGCTGGCTCAGTGCATCTACAGACACAGAAACAACTACAACAAGACACAACTCATTCAGGTAGGACCATCACACCAAGGCAGAAAGGGTTTTTTTTTTTTTTTTGAATGTTTATGCAAAGTCTTGCAAAGCAAAGTCCTCACAGAATTCACTGAGGACATGTGGAGGTAATTTTCTCAATTAATGCAATCAAACAGGCAAGGGTTACAGCTCACTTTTTCACACTGCAATTACATTTGAGAGAAAAACTCTTGATGCTGCAATCAAAAAATGCATTATTTATTGCAAGTAAACTGAATTTGTGATTAAAAATGCATTCATGACAATTAACAACATTTGTTTGCGAACCCAAATGTTTTGCTTGATGTTGAGCTGAATCTTGTGGATGGGACCTATGCTGCAAGCAGCTCAGCTCAGCTCGCATTACATCTAAGGCGAGAAAGTGCCTAACATTAAAGGCGCTGTATGTAAGAATGTGGCCAGAACGGTTACGGCACAGGTTGCTGGACAGCGGCATGCTGGAGACTGATTTGTTTCCCCAGGGGCGGCTGCTGTGGCAGGGCCGCCTCACCGTGTCCTTGATCTTCGGTTTTCCAGCGGACCGTTCGAGCAAGTCCGGCTTCTCTGCTGCTAACGCTGCTGCCAGGATACAGCTGAGGAGAAGCCGGCTACTAATGCTATGTACCGGGACACTGCTAATGCTGCTGCCAGGATACAGCTTAGGAGAAGCCGGCTGCTAATGCTATGTACTGGGACACTGCTAATGCTGCTGCCGGGATACAGCGTAGGAGGAGCTGCCTGCTAACGCTATGTACCGGGACACTGCTAACACTGCTGCCGGGATACAGCTTAGGAGAAGCCGGCTGCTAATGCTATGTACCGGGACACTGCAAATGCTGCTGCCGGGATACAGCGGAGGAGGAGCTGGCTGCTAATGCTATGTACCGGGACACTGCTAACGCTGCTGCCGGGATACAGCTGAGGAGGAGCCGGCTGCTAATGCTATGTACCGGGACACTGCTAATGCTGCTGCCGGGATACAGCTGAGGAGGAGCCGGCTGCTAATGCTGCTTGCCGTGCTGCTGTAGCTCAGTCCTAACTGTAACTGATGCTGAGACTCTACTGACTGCTTGACTGGTAGACGGCGGTGGGTGGCACAACAGGCCAAAACACAAATTCAAAACATAAACATGATTTGCGGAATGTAAAAATGTTTTTTAAATGCGAATATTCTGGCTGTACTATTGTTGTCGGTGAGATCAGTATGTTATATGAACATTATTCCTTAGTCTCTGTGACATATTAGGAGGATTTTACGACTATTTGCTTTAGATTTCTTACATATAGCTCCTTTAAGTAAGCTGGCTACAGGCTGACAAAATAACAACTTTGCATCACATTAGTTGAACGTCGTCCTGTTAACTAGTCACGCATAACACGCATAACATCATGCAGGCTAACAGGAAGCCTGGACACATCAAGGACACACTCACTCAGGTGCGCACCAAAACAACCGGACCAAGACTTTCTTGAAGAGGTGGTCTCGGTCCGGTTGTTTTGGTGTGCACCTGAGTTAGTGTGTTCACACCTTACCAAACAAACTGCACTTAGGGGGCAAATGAACTTGATCTGGATTGAACCGAACCAAACAGGGCAGGTGTGAAAGCACCCTCAGATGCAAAATGCTAATTACCACAAAATGGATCATCTGTGTGTCACCAGTGACATTGATGAAGGCTGGGTGGCAGAAAATAAAATGAAGTGGCTTGTTGTCAGTGCAACCTTCCTCTCTCATCATTAGTCTCAGTTGTCTTGGTCATTTAAAAAAGTATCTTGTCAGGAAGCTCTGGTTTAGCTATCATTATTATTTTATAATTGACTAGAGTGAACAGTGATGTGTATGCAAAAACCAAATGATGTAAAACAAATATCAACTTTCACACTGCAGTGAGAACTTCTTTTTCTCTGTGTGTATTCAGCAGGTTTACAGGTTTATGTTTATGCTCATTTTTAATTTTCCTTTTTGTCTTTTTTTTTCCAGGAAATGAAGAAAGAAATCAACAACTTCTGTTGATCTCCCAAACCAAGTCTATTTTAATAAAACCTCAGTGCATTCAAACAGGGAGTTATTCACTCGTGTTTTGACTTGTATCAGTTTACCTCAATATTTATTGTGTAAGATGTTATTTATAGTGGAGTATTTATTAATGATAGCGATATATAAGAGTTATCCCTATGACAGTGCAGTGTTCGTTAATCATTACGTAAAACTTGAATAAAAGTGCTTTTAAGGCTTAATTATAATCATTGTGTGTTTTCTGTTATGCAAAAATATCACTTTGTATTCACAGCATTTTGTATTTTCTTTATTTTTTTTGTCAGGTCATGGTTTTTGGTGCTTAATATTAATGTTTGTTGAAATTTGAATGAGTTTAGATTACATTTGTTGAGATGTCACATCAGGTAATCAGTGGTGTAGCACTTTGCTTACAGTAAGTATGGCTTCAAGGTATTTTTTAATTTTTATTCAACTAGTTATTTCACAGCTGTTGATAAAATTCACTTTATATTTAGTAAAACAAATGTACAAACAAAACAAATTATGATTTTTCTAAATTAAACTACACAAAATCTTATACAATAATTCAATTTTGTGTACCCAACTGCCACCTGCAACAGTTCTGCTTACATGTTAATTCATCCGTAATAATACATAATGTCACTTTGATACTACAAGTATCATTTTTAAAATAATACTGATGCACTTTTACTTTTTTATCCAGGACTTTTAGATGTAACGAGTATTTTGTACACTGTAGTGTCAGTACTTTGCCTTGAGGAAAGGATTTCAGCACTTTTTCGCCGCTGTGAATAATGAATTACAGCTCCGGTGTCTTCGGTACAGTATGTGACTGAAACTTCTTGCATAACTACATCAGTACGTTATGAGTCGGCCTGCTTCACTGTACTAGTACAGAGTTAGAACACTCTCCTGACGTGTGTCGATGACGCAACGACGCATGCGAATAAATCTGTGAATTTCATGTCGGTACACCGACGGCCGTTTCCGCTTAAGAGACAAACCTTCAAAATAAATGACTTGGAATTGTCGCACATGGAAAAAAAGGAAGCCGAAAACCTGAACACTGAGTTGGTGTTTTGTTTAAATAAACAAAACAGTGATGTGCATAATAAACAATATGATGGAAATATAAATTAATGAAAGAAAACTTATTATTAATATTAAATTATAGTATACTGTATATAATAAATATATCAGAATCAGGCATACCTTATCGATCCCTGGAGGAAACGTGCCACAATGTTAACCCTAGTATGTCAAATGTTTAAAATATGTATGTATAATGTGCTCAGTATGTAAAGTGTTTTTTAAAAAAAAACATGTGCCTTATGCTACAATACAATGTATAAAACGAGTATGTAAAGTTAGAAATATAAATAAGTGTACACATACATTGACTATACAAAATAAGTAGGGATAAGAATCATATACAATATATGCAAATAATATTAAATATACATTCAGGAGTAGTCAAATATACATAAGTCTACATAAAAACAAAATACAGAGCAGGGTTAATAGATGTTCTTTATGCTCTATGTTCTTTATATTTACAGTATCATAGATTAAACTTGAGTAACACTAAATACATTTATTTTAAAAATATTTAAAAGGTATTATTCAGTTCTTACGAGATTTAAAAAAAATATATATATATTTTCTAAAGTTTTTTTTTTCAAATGCAAGCTTTTTAATACATTGGCCGGGACTACAGATGAAAAATAGCTTCTTGGCTTATTCTAATTTGTTTTTAATAAAAATAAATAAATAAAAATAATAATTCAATTTCTAATTTTTCAAATTAATTTCTCATTTTTTAAGCTTATTTTTTGCCATGTGTATTCATCAATTTGTAATTTGTTTTAATTAATTTGTGTATTTATTAACTAGGATACTTTTAGTATAATAATAATTTTGTACTATTATTCAAGAATTTGAGTGACTTTTTTTTACACTGTAGTAGTACTACTTCACTTATATTATTATTAAGTAAAATATCTGAGTGGTTTTTCCATGATTTTTTATGGTGAATATTTTAGTGTAAGTTTTTATTTTGAAATGTACATTCCGGATGCAGTTCTCGGCCATTGCTCGCTTGTAACGGCGGTGTGAAAATGGTCATCGTCAGATTCGGTGAACTATCGGTGCCTTTTTTATTGAATAGGGTATTATATTAACAAAGCAACAGAGTAAACAATGCGAGTGGCGGCGGTGCTGGCTGAAAACGGAGCTAAGGGGCTGTAGTTCAGCCTGTGCCCCGGCCGTTCGAGAGGCTCCGTGTCGGGGCTGAAGCAGATGGGATCCTCGGTGTATTCGGGTAAAAGGCGGAAGACTGCGTATCAACACACCGAACCAGAGATGCTAGAATGCTACATCCGCTAGCCAGCTAACTGTTTGTTCCAAGATGCGGGTAAACGGAGGCCGTTTCACCAGGTAAACACACAGCGGGCTGACGGGCACGCTGTTATCGGTGTCCGTGTACGGTCACACGCCGCCTCACATCCGCTGCCACTTGTGGAGACCCGTTAAACACAAGGCTCAGCTAGCTAACGTTAGCTAGGATGGTGCTGGTGTCGGCTATGTGGTTGTCGTCGTTCTCCTTTCTCGGTTTATTTCTCAGTCAGTAAGCTAGCTGAGAAGACATAGGACAGCGTAAGAGGAGTGTAGACTGAGCAGGTTAACGGGATGGTATGTTTCTAGTGTGTGTGTGTTTGTATGAGTGTGTTTGTGGTGGACAGGAAGTGCATTTTCTGCTGCAGCCTCAATTTGATAAACAGCACAGTTTGTTCAGCATGCACAAGACTGCAGGCAGCAGAAGTTCAAACCAATCGGCTGGAAAAGTTCTATTATCTTATCAGTTCATTTTTAAAGGGCCATTTCTCTTATTTGTCCCGTTTACCACAACCACGTGCAATCGACACAACTCACAACAGTCTTTCTAAAGCTCAAACAGAATTAGTTTAGATTGAGAAGTACAGATAAGGTTCAACCAGATAAGAAAATTAGCCAAAGCAATATTTATATTTGATAAGATCACCATTATTAGTCCATAGCAGGGACGTTGAATTACACACAATGGCAAAGAAGTGACTCAAAACAGATACATAATAATAAGGGACTGTTCTTTACCAATCACAGGAGAGGGTGGCTGAGTAAACTCCAGTTGGTCCAGATTTCAGCCGCCCGTATCATTACCAGAATCTCCTCCATAGATCATATCACTCCTGTTCTCCAGAAGCTTCACAGGCTACCTGTTAAATATTGCATTAATTTCAAGATTCTGCTTCTCACCTTTTTAAGGCCCTTCATAATCAGGCCCCTTCCTACCTGTCTGAACTCCTTCATATCTATACACCCTCCTGTACTCTTAGATCCTCTTCTGTTATCCATCTCACATCACCATCTGCCTGCTTGACTACCATGGTTTCCAGAGCCTTCAGCCACTCTGCTCCCCGCCTCTCGAACTCTCTCCCCCACGACATTCGCAATATTGACTCACTTTCCACTTTAAAATCCCGTCTGAAAACACACCTTTTTTAAGTTTGCATATTCAGTATTATTTAATGGAGACACGCATATGGTGACCGGCACTGGTGATGACATTATGATGCTGATTTTATACCTAATATTTATGATTATGACTTTTGTCTAGTCATTTAATTAACTTTAATGTGTATTACATAATTATTTGATTTTATGGATAAATTGCTGCTTTTTTCTTAAACTGCGCCTTGAAAGGTGTCCTTGAGTGCTTTGAAAGGCGCCTAACAATGCATTATTATTATTTTTAAAGAAAACGCGCCTTCCAAAAGCAGGCAGATTTCCCCCTTTCGCCCACTTTTATATTCCCTTTTTTGTATTCCCAGCTCCAGGTGTGTTTTGTCATGCAGTTTTGTATTCCAACGCTTTGTTATGTTCTCATCTTCAGGAATTAAGGATATCAGGGGAAACATTTCGACTGATGACATCCTACTTTATGGAGCCACAACAGGACAAGAACTGAGACAGCTTTAATACCTGGCCAGACACATTGCTCTCCGACCCTCGGGATGGCGAGCCGGAGGAAATCCACCACCCCCTGCATGGTCCCACCTCGAGAAGCTGTCGACTCGGACCAGGAGATGGAGGACGTCACAGATGCAGCCGAGCCAGAGGACAGTAACGGTGTGGTGACTGTCTCCTCTGAGTTTTCCAGTTTGTTGGAGGAGCGTAGTGAGGATGCAGACTTCAGGCCGGTGCCAGACTGTTACATGGACCTTAATACTGCAGAGGGAGGCTACGAGTGCAAATACTGCAGCTTTCAGACGTCAGAGCTCAACCTGTTCACCATGCACGTGGACACAGAGCATCCCGATGTCGTCATCAACACCTCGTACGTCTGCATGGAGTGTGACTACCACACCAAGAGGTATAATACTTGTGTTGTTTATACTATGTGTAAGAGAGTGCTTTCTTCTGATGTCATATACCAGAGCTGTCAGAGTTTATAATAATAATTATAGTAATTATAACTTTATTCATATAACACCTTTTAAAAACAGAGTTTACAAAATGCTGCCAGACAGAGCAAAGCAGAAGCAGGTACCCCAAAGACAGTGTAACAAAAGACGCAGAGCAAAAGCATGACAAAATTGAGGTAAGGTTAAAACAAGAAGGTATTTCAGAGATAGAGGGGAACGTGTTGCAAATACTTCAGCCTTCTGTGAACTGGAGTCAAAGGCTTGTGGCAGCGGCTTCAAGTTGATGTAGGTAACATTAGCTAGAGCCTTGAATCACAGTATGTCCTCCGCCTCACACCCTCCTGCTACAGACCACCTTGCTGGGAGTAAAGTGGGCAGCAGCTCCGGAGATTGACCCTCCCAAGTGGTTGTAGTAACTCCAGCTCAGCCTGTGCCAGGGAATTGGACAGCCCTGACTCCCTGCCAGACCAGCAAACTTTATGTTGCTGCTGTTACAAAGCTTAGACTTGCCACTGGCCACCAGCCCGCTGTGACGCCTGATTCTGCAGTCTGCCGTGACTGAATTCTGGGGATGCACCTATGTATCAGCTGCACATCTGTATCGTCAGATATTCTCCTTGCTGACTGCCATCAGCCTGTAGGCAAATACGTAACATTCCCAATGGCGGTGGCCAATGATTTCTGTTGTGTCACATCAATTTTTGTGCAGGCTAAAAAGCAGGGTTCCAGACTAACGGTGTCCCATCATCCTTAACTCACTATCTATGCGTCAGAGGACCCACCCTATTGCTCCCTCGATAATACCACATTGTGAACAACAAATCCGTGTTAACAGAGGCAGTAGAAAGCTAGTTAATGTTAGCTGTTAACAGCTGGTGGACGGAACTAATGGAGATTGCATTGAGTTACGTTATGAAGCGTTCAAGCCATAGATAGTATAATATATTGGACAAAACTGCCTTGATGTTCCCAGTTGGTTTGAGGACACCTGTTTTGAAACCTCAAGTTCGACATTTCAGCCATCACCATCTTGGCCTTTTGGAGCCAGAACTGACCATATTTGGACGAGAGGCTGGCACTGTGGAGGAGTGAGGGGTGTAACTGACTGAGATGCCGAAGGCATGTAAAGCAGGCCGGTCTTAATTATTATTATTATTTATTTATTTTTTTTAAAGATATGTTTTTGGGCATTTTTGCCTTTAATGGATAGGACAGCCAAGTGTGAAAGGGGGAGAGAGAGAGAGAGAGAGATGACATGCAGCAAAGGTCCACAGGCTGGACTCGAACTCGGGCCGCTGCGGTTACAGTCTTGTATGTGGGGTGCCTGCTCTATCCACTAAGCCACCGACGCCCCAATTATGCACAATTTAAGCCTTAATAAAATGTAAACAGGTGAGTTATATGAACATTCACCCCCTGTGCAGTGGTCATGGACAGGGAAATTAGTCATAGAGACCAAAATCGTTTTTATACCAGGCTGTAAACATGTTTATTTCTGCTGTAAAGTTTGGCATTTTAACATGGAGGTCAATAGGGATTGACTGGCTTCTGGGGACCACCCTCCAGCGGCCAATAGAAGAACTGCAGTTTTTGGCTTTTCTGTGTTGGCTCAATTTTGCAGCCCCAGAGGTTGCCACTTGGTCCAAGCTTTGTTCAGTAAAAATGAGTATTGGGCAAAGGTAAACTGTAACATAATCATGATGTGTTCAGTGTAATCTTGTAAAATGTATTTTTTGTTGAGAAACTTAAATAAACACAACGGCTTAAGGGGGACAATTGTTGATGTTTTCACAGCAAAAAATAAATAAATGAATAAAAAAATCAGCCCAGAATTTCACAATTGGTGCTGCTGAATTGAAATGACTAAAGCTCTGTCTCCTGAGCTGCTGTCCACTCTAATACTTATCTTATTGGTGGTCTGATAAACAAAGGGAGATAGTGGGGTAAGAAGGGGCTGCAGACAACTCTAGAATGAAATAAGATTGAATAAATCAGTATATGGGAAACACTGGGATACTGTATGAAGTGCATGCACATGCCTGTGGTCGTCTGGTGGGAGGGGCTTAGGACAGAGAGGGAGAGCTGCAGGAGGAGGGTGTACTTTTACTTTTTTTGGCCTACTGCCTAACGTGAAAACTGCCTTACCAAGCTTTAAGTCTTGTTGATATGTGGTTTTTATCTCGTCATTGAGCTAAAGAAAATGATTATTATTTAATCTTTATTTTTTGTATAATTAAGCATTTCTGGGTATCGACTCTTTCAGTACTTATTTCTGATAAAAGAAGAACTGTCCCACATTTCTTCCCATCTAGTTATGACACGCTGTTGGCCCACAATGCTCGCCTTCACCCAGGCGAGGACAACTTCACACGGACGATGGTGAAGCGAAACAACGAGACCATCTTCCAGCAGACTGTCAACGACCTTACCTTCGATGGCAGCTTTGTCAAAGTGGAGGACGAGGAGGCGGAAGAGACATCCCGCAAAAGCATTGCCCTCAGCAAGACGCCCATCATGAGGATCAAGAGCCGACTGGAACCCAAGAAGTTCACCGCCTCACACAAAATGGTGTCCGTTGACGATGTCATCAAAGTAGAGAGTGATGACGAGGATGACGAGAATAAGGAGCCACCCACGCTATCTCCTGCCCCGATGACCCCCGCTGCTGTTGCCCCTCGCCTCATACCAGTCTCCACGGCGGTGCAGGTCCAGGCTGTCCCACAGAGCATCGTGGTCAACAGCCCCAATGTGCTACAGATTAAAGGCGGCTCGGGCGGCGGTGCTGTGCTGCCTCCAGGGACGCTGGCTCAGGTTCTGTCGGCACTGCAGAACCAACAGAACTGCACTCCGACGCAGACGCAGCTCCTCATCCCCATCAGCAGCATCCCCACCTACAACACAGCCATGGACAGCAACGTCCTGCTAGTCAGCGCCTACAACAGGTAACTGAACCTTTTATCATCTTTCAAGTGTTACAGTTTCTGTATTTAAATGCACTTTTCTAGTCTTCCGACCACTCAAAGCACTTTTACACAACATCACATACACCCATTTACACACATTCACATACTGGTGACCGAGGCTACCATACAAGGTGCATACAACCTGCTACTCTATACACATTCACATGCACTCTCACACTGATGGAACAGCTGTTGGAAGCAACTGGGGGCTCAGTATCTTGCCCATGGATACTTCAACATGTGGACTGGAGGAGCCGGGGATCGAACCCTCCATCATCAGATTGGTGGACGACCCGCTTTTCCACTCGTGGCTCATGACGACCCAAATCACATTACCATGAGAGGCTCCTGGATATATGAGATAGCGGGAGAATCACAAGACCACACAAGATAACACTGCCGTAATTTGCTACATGGTCTACCTCAAGTACCTCCCGCAGTACAAACGATATTGCCAAATCTCTTATCGACTGACACTAGGGATTAAACAGTTACCAGTTTAGTGATAAACTGTGATGAAATTCCAACAGCCTACCATTTCAAATTTTAATTATCATTAAAACCGTGTTTGATTATCACGCTTTGAAAATGTCACTGTAAATACTGTCCAGCATCAACCAAAGTTAGCAACAGTCACAGTGCACAAGCGCAGCATGCAGCGTGGGTTTGTTTTGCACTTCTCTTGATTGTAGGGCTGTACCCAAATATTCGGATATTCGAATATTTGTTTCTATGGGTAGGTATTCATTATGAAAATTTGATATTCGATATTCGTTGTTTTATTTACTTTTTCTTTTTTACTTTTTCTTTTTTTTTTTTTTGGTGCTAAATGTAGTCTTTTTGTTGTTGGTAAATGTAGGTTATCAATAAAAATCAAAACTTTTAAATTGCATTGTTAAAAAATGTGAAAATATAGTATAGCCTACCAACTGAGCTTGTGTGCAGGGCACGCTTGAGCGCATCCGTCTGAGGCTGTGGATCAATGCCAAGTTTTACCACTTTATCACTATTCCCTCTAACTTGTAGCTGTTTTTTCTTTATCTTTTGAATTTAATTTGAATTATGGTACCTTTTTTGTTAATGTTTGTTTCCCCCGTTTTGTACAATAAATTATTGTTTAAAGTTTCAACAAGTTTCTTTTGGAGTGTGTGACACAAGTGTGTTTTGAAAACGGCCGCTGACTGTCACCTGCTCAACGCATCAGTACCTTCGGATGCCATGACAGAAATAGCCAATAATGTCAAAATATCATTTACAGACCGATTTAACAGGCGATCACTGCTGCCCGACCTGCAGGTCCATTTGCGGGTCGCGCGGGTTACGGGTCGACCTGCGCATCACTACTCAGCTCAGTCTATAAAGGCTGTATACACAACAGTAAGGCTATAGACATTATATTCTATTCAGGCCGGCAGAACCAGCAGCGCATCGGCTCTACAGTGCACGGCACTGCTGATTAACCATTTTATTGTAGCACAGAGTGTCTGCCAGCAACCAATTACTTGCAGAAGACAAATTAAACAGGATGACTAGGTGATGTGCCATCACATTTTTTTTGTGGTTTGAGAGCAAAGTTAGGTTAGGTCTGAAAAAACCCCGGAGTCCGCCTCCACACACACACACACACACACACACACCCCTTCACTCAGAGTGAACCTGAAAAAAGAAGAGTACAAGGTTAGGTAGAATAAGAGCTATGTATGTGTAGAAGTACATGTACATTTAAATGCACTGTGTCAACATGTTCACTAATTCTGTGATCACACGAAACTAGGGCTGTCAAAATTGCTCAAAAATGACTTTAGAATATTCCTTCTAAAAATAACTCATAGGTTTGAACCATTCAAATTTTTTTTTTTTTTCGCATTATGTCCACAAGAGCGCAAACTAATACAAGGAAACATACTTGTATATGTATTAATACAAGAAAACATAACTACTTGTAGGTATTGTTATTTCAACATAAACGTCTTTGAAAACATTTACGTACCTACACATTAAAACACAAAAAACAATTATCTGTAACATTACATTACAAACGACCGCGGACCTCTCGCTCACCCCCCCCCCCCCCCCCCCCCCCCCCCCCCCCCCCCCCCCCCCCCCCCCCCCCNGCCCCCCCCCCCCCCCCCCCCCCCCCCCGACCCGTCACGCCACACCGCCTGCGGAAGCGCTGTGAATAGCCTCAAAGCACCTCAAAGCGAAGCCAGTTTCCTTTCAGCGCCCATGTTAACCGATTGTGTCATCCACACCGCAGCTCCGTGGCCAGCTCGCGCGCTGCAGTGATCATTTCGGCGTCTGGTCTATTTTCTGCGCGAGCCGCGAGCGAATGTGTCAAGCCGGGTGATGGAGACAACAGCTGGGAGCAGAACCGCTTGTCGACCAGCGTGGAGAAATGCATGTCTGATGTAACGGAAGTGCTCCGGCTCTCGCGAGAATTTCGGTGCGCTGCGCTTCGCAGCACTTCCGCGGGTGGTGTGCCCCTGGCGTGCGTTCAGTGCAGCGGCCCAGGCCAACACCCACTCGCAAAGAGGACAGCTGCGGTGGTATGTATTTTTTCTCCACAATCGAATATCAATTTTCACATTCGAAGGTCCATTTTTTTTTTTTCAAATTCGAATTTAGAATATTCGTTGACAGCCCTACACGGAACAAAGCTGAGTAATTGCAAATGCAAATGTCAATACCAAACACCTTAAAGATAATGTGTATCAAAAATTTCTGTCCCATCGTTATGTTAACAAACTTTTCTAACCCTTTGTTTGGGAGCTTTGATGCAGCTATCCTCATCTCACGGTGCAACCAGGAAGTAAACAGCTCTGGTCATGTTACAATTTACACTTCGCACGTGACACTGCACATATTTCATTGAGACCCTTTATTATTTCAATATTTGCTGTACATGCATTGATACATCATTCGGTAACATTTTTAGAGCCTTATAACTGGAAATGTTTTTTGCGGTCAGTACAGTTGGGATTAAAGGGGTTAATTGTAGAATCTGTGAAAAAAATAAATTTTTTGCACATCAAGCTGCCCTAAGGCTATATTTAATGTTAATGCACAATTGATATGATTTTCATATGCTCACATAAGGTTTTGACTGTCATTAATTTAATGTTAATGAACATTGTATTTGTGGCATTCAATATAAAACTGTGTGAAATTATTTGAGTGTGTATATATACCATCATATCGCCCAACTCTACATACATATTTGCACAGAGCTTGTTCTTTATGAAGCTGCTTTGGGGTTATGATATGATCTTATGTAGACTTGTCTCAGTGGGTTCCTCCTGGTTACATGTGTAAATAGAAAAGGACACAAAGAACTTAACAAAACACCAAGACTGCCTGAAGTGTTCAATACAGGTCCTTCTATGTTAACACTGTATTTGCACTTGCCATGTAATTACTCTGTTGTTTCAGTTCGTAGAAAGCAAACTGATTTTTGTGTTGCAGGTTTCCATATCCCTCTGTGTCGGAGATCATGGGCTTGTCTTCGCAGACGAAGTTCAGCGAGGAGCAGATCAAGGTCTGGTTTTCTGCTCAGAGGCTCAAACACGGTGTCAGCTGGACGCCGGAGGAGGTCAGTGCTTCATCAGGATACTTTTCACACCACATCACATCCACACCTGGTTTTAGGTTTCATGGTACACTTTTGTCCCTCACATCTCACGCTTTTCCTATACTGTCCCTCATCTGGCACCTGATGTTTCTCTAACTACTCTGAACGTCAGAGAGATGTTTGGAGTCCCATTTATTTCCTCAGACACAGACGAACGCAGGTGACTTTATTTGAATGAATCTGAGTTAATGTATGTGTGTGAGACAGCTTCATTGAGAATAACACACACAATAAAAAAGAAAGCCTAAAAGATGAGTCAACCCTCTGACATGGTTAAACAGTTTTCAACATTTGTTTGTGTGCACTCTTGTTTATCTGTCACGGTGGAGTTATACTGGCATCAGATCTGAAGTGCACACTGAAACACAACTGATGGATCATCCAGTAAAATCAGATCTGGCTCAGCCTGTTGCATCAAAAACCTTTCAGCCCCTCAGGAGTCAGAGTACAACACAAGTCTTTTTTGTTCAAATTTAAAAATAAGCTTTGGAACAATCTGCCTGAAGTTGGCAGACTCTGAGTTGCTCATCAAATCGCCTCATAAAAGCAATTTTTATAGACTTGCTGTAATGTAATTATCTCTTCATTGATTGTGAGCTGATTTAGTGGTGCTTTCATTTCTTTTAGCTCTTTTCTTCCCACTCTTCCCAACTCCAGCTTTGTCTGCGTGGTGTTTCACCGTGCTCTATTTCTGTTTGTTTTTTTATGCTGCATCTGTGATAGTGGTCATAGCTTACTCTTGGATGTCTACTGCTTACAGTCTGACACCTGGTCACTGCCTTTTTATAAAGTCCCAACCTCCCCTGCGCTGTGCCCAGTAAATGTCCCAACACAACAGCCTAAGGAGAAAATCCAGGTAGAGAGCAGAGATAAACACACACTGAGACTGAAAGTGATGATTGAGAGAAATGACTTTCATAGGAGTCTATACGTTGTTGTTTTTTAGGAAAATCCATTACAGTATACCTTTGGAAAAATTTAAAGCTATATATCCGGTATATTTTTACCAGACAGAATTGTCAAACTGACATTACATTCACTCTAACTGATTTCCATGGGGGCTGGGAATTCGGTTTCCCTTAACCAGTAACCAGAAACCCACATACCCGCCTCAGTCTAATGGCATTTTAAGTCCACTGTGGGTTCGCACCATTACCACACCAGCATTCGCTTGTGGTGCGCCAAGAAGGCGGAGTCTGTTCCACATTTGCTGAAGCTGTTAACGGCTCACACATCAAAACAGGCTGTTTGACAAAATGCTAAAGCGCTCAAAATACTCTCAATGTAGAGTACACTTCAACTGATACTGACTTTTTTTTTTTTAGGCTAAAATACTTTTACTGCTGCCCCTTTTCAGCAGTGCAGTGACCATGACCACGGATACGTACCTCACACAACCCCACTTTAAAAGATCTAAACTATCCCTTTTTGACAAAACAAATGCATCGGTAAACTTAAAGCTGACAGTCTCTCACTCTTTGTTCCTTCTCTCCGCAGGTGGAGGAGGCGAGGAGGAAGAAGTTTAATGGCACGGTGCAGACCGTCCCTCAGACCATCACCGTCATCCCCGCCAACATAGCCGCAGCCACCAACGGCCTGCAGTCCATCTTCCAGACCTGCCAGATTGTCGGCCAGCCAGGCCTTGTCCTCACTCAGGTGGCTGGTAATGGCAGCACAGTGCCGGTCGCCTCTCCCATTACCCTGACAGTCGCAGGTGTCCCCGGCAACCAGCCCAAAGCAGCCGAACCATCGACGTCAGAATCAAAGACTGAGATGTCGGCCTCGTCAGCCAGTGCATCGCTCAACTTGGACATAGCAGCAGCCAAACCGAAGAAGTCCAAGGAGCAGCTGGCAGAGCTGAAGGCAAGCTACGGCAGGAGGCAGTTCGCCACCGAGGCAGAGATATCACGACTCATGCAGGTCACCAAACTCTCCAAACGAGCAATAAAAAAATGGTTCAGCGACACGCGCTACAACCAGAGGAACTCCAAGGATCACCACGGTGTCCTGCTGAATGAAACCCCGTCCAGCAGAGTGACAGTGTCAGGAGGAGGCAGAGGAGGAAGGAACAGCAGCGGCAGCCTTAACGACAGTGACAATGCCACTACCATCGTCATTGACTCCAGTGATGACGCCAGTGATTGCTCTCCGACTTCTGCCACCTCCCCGTCAGGGACCACCAGCGACCCGCGGGTCAAATTCCGCCACGCCTTCCCAGACTTCACGCCACAGAAGTTCAAGGAAAAGACTCCGGAGCAGCTGTTCATCCTGGAGGCCAGCTTCCAGAAATCAGACACGCCCTCTGACGAGGAGCTTAGCCGGCTGCGTGCGGAGACAAAGCTGACACGACGTGAGGTGGACGCTTGGTTCACAGAGAGGCGGAAAATGCCTTCAGCAAAGGAGGAGGAGGAGGAGGAAGAGGGAGGGGAAATGGTAAAACCAGCCTGGGTGCCTTCGTCCTCAGCTCAGGAGCGGCAGACCGCGCCGCTCAGCAGCAGGAAGACGATGAAGAAGACGCCGCAGCAGCTCCACATCCTGAAGAAGGCCTTCGTCCGCACACAGTGGCCAACGGCTGAAGAGTACGACGAGATGGCAGATGAGAGTGGTCTGCCAAGGACATACATCGTCAACTGGTTCGGAGACACGCGCTACGCCTGCAAAAACAGCAATCTGAAGTGGTACTACCTCTACCAGAGCGGAAAGGTAAAAAAGTTTGATTAAGAAATAATGCAGGAGATTCTTTTCTGTGTTTTTAGTCTTTATGATGTTTCCAGCAGCAGCAGAACTGTTAGAGGAGCAGTCATCATAATATTAGTACTTCCACAGAGAACTATGACCTGCAGTAACATCGACTTCACTAAATGAATAATAAATGTGATGTATTTTAGGTGGACGAGGCGCTGAACGGCGGAGCTAAGAAGAAGTCCAGGAAGCGTTTTCGTGGTTGGTCCAGGAGGACACGCCGGCCATGTCCAAAGCGCTCCCCACAAGGTAGCGCCACCACCATCAAGGTCTGTGTCTGCAGTGTGTACTTTGTGTCCAGTTCATTAGGTACACCTTGCTAATACTAATGCTATAAACCCTCGTTTCGTGAAGTTGTTGATACAGCTATAGGACTATTTTGGACAAAATATCAGAAACACCTGTGTACCTATGGTGTATTTAATAAACTTAATAATCTGATAGTATTAATGGACCCATGAAATGTTACAGTTCCCTAAGGTGATGTATTTCCTGTAGAAGCGGGGTGAGACACCAGACGTTAAGGATCAATCTAAGCGTTAGGCTAAATGCAGGATATTTTAATTGTCCATGGTTTGCTGGAACATTTTTATTTAAAAAATATATAAATATTAAGTATATCAATAAATAAATAAATGTGAAAAAAGTAAAAAGCGATGTCCCTGTTTGATGGCATCATGGTGTTCAAAATGTCTTCCCTCCCTCCGTGTCTTTATGTTGCAGTAAGCAGAGTCGTTAATCGTTAACGACTTTACACTCTTTAAATACTTTTTAAAATTAATGAAGCAACATGATTTTTTTGAGCTTTTACATATTTTCTTCTTCACAATGTGCCTTAAAGTTATGAAAAGACTCTTAACCAGAGTTGAAACAGAATATCAAAAATAATTGAATGTATGTGTTACAGTGCAGAGATGTTGTTTGTATATAACCAAACCTTTTTAAGTCTCGTCTAAAGTAAAGTCTAAAGTAAGGACGCACAACTTATCGAAGTTGAATTAAGATCGCGATTTCAGCTTCCCACAATTAAATGAACATCATCAGCGATGATATTGACATTTGAAAAGTGTGCTCCGTGTGTAGAAAACTGCGGCATATCTAATCAAGTGCTTCCTAAACTAACAGCTGGCCCTATTAAGCAGCTCACTTTGCCCCACTGCAGGGCCCGTCTGTGAAAAACTTTCCTGAATGTTCCAAAAATCATCTGTCATCACCTGTTGTTTGGAAGTATTTTCGATTCAGTAGAGAACAAATTATGTGCAAACAGTGCATGAAACTTGTGTCTGTGCCGTAAAGCAACACAACCAAAATAAAACACAATCTGCGGTACAATGAATGCATGAAGGCCAAGAAAAAATGTCACTAACGTTACCTCACTGAATCCCTGTCTTTAGCCAGCGTCAACTCAGACATCATGACAGTGGTGCTGCAGTGCGCCCCAGCACCATGACAGCTGTAAATAGTAATACAGTGGTGGAGACGTATCCACTAAAGATGCACTGAATTCAGGTGAAGAAGAAAACAAGTCTTATTTTGATGCAAAGATTTGTACGTCAGCAGGAATTAAGCACAGCATGGAAGTGAAAGCAGTGCTCTGTTGTTCTAAATGAGTAATGCAGTAACTGCAATAAAAATATTTTGTCACTAAAAACAATGAGTAATCGTGATAAATAAATAATCGTGATTTACATTTTGGCTGTAATCGTGCAGCCCTAGTCAAAAGTAGTCAGGGTTATAGAGCTGAAATTACTGCTGAATTTTAAAAATGGTCTTTTTGTAATCTTTTTTTTTTTTTTTCCCCCAATCCAAAATAGTTAAAAAACCAACTAATCAATTAATGGAAAAGATATCCGTCAGAATACTTAAAAGAAAATAACTGGTAGTTGCAGCCCTACTGTGGGGTGGCTGTGGCTCAGAGGTAGAGTGGGTTGTCCACCATTCGGAAGATCAGCGGTTCAATCCCCAGCTCCTCCTGTCTGCATTTCGAAGTATCCTTGAGCAAATTGCTCCCGATGGCTGTTCCATCGGTGTGTGAGTGACTTTAAAGAAAAAACAAAAAAGTAGTAGTAGTAGCAGCAGGTGGCACCTTGTATGGCAGTCTCAGCCACCAGTGTATGAATGTTTGTGTGAATGGTTGAATGTGACTCGTAGTGTAAAAAGCGCTTTGAGTGGTTGGATGACTATAGAAGCGCTATACAAATATAGTAGGGCTGGGCAGTATGACAAAATTTTCATATCACGGTTTCAAGAAAAAATCAAATTGGTTTCACGGTATTTAACGGTATTTTGCTCAGGTACGGCCAACTTGACATGCTGCTGTGTTATGCTATGGCCTATTCAAGTGCAGGAATTTGTTATTTACCTGACAATGCCTGAACACAACACACTCTCCGCTCCATTCATTTGGGCTCCACTGACTGCGTACGGAAGCCACACGTAGAGAAGCCAGCGGGGTTGTTTACCGTTTGCTGAGCCGAGAGGCTGCATGTAGGCTGTTAATTTATTATGCTGATCTGTTCTGTACGACATCTATTGCACGTCTGTCCGTCCTGGAAGAGGGATCCCTCCTCAGTTGCTCTTCCTGAGGTTTCTACCGTTTTTTTTCCCCGTTAAAGGGGTTTTTTTGGGGAGTTTTTCCTTCTCCGCTGTGAGGGTCCAAAGGACAGAGGGATGTTGTATGCTGTAAAGCCCTGTGAGGCAAATTGTGATTTGTGATATTGGGCTTTATAAATAAAATTGATTGATTGATTGATTGATGAAATGTTAAAGCATTTTCCACCAAAGTTATTACATATATTTGAGTTATCTACAAGTTTACTGTACTGTTTGTCATCTACTCGCTTTCAAATGTCCGCCACGGACATTTACACAATGTCACGGATAAACATGGGTAAATGCATGAAAAAAAATCATCACATATCACCTCTGATAATGGTTTATTCATTTAAAAACACATTGTGCTCGTTTAGCACACTATTTCATGTAGTTTTTATCTGCTGGAGGGTCGCGTAGGGGAGCGTAGCGCGACAAAAATATAAGAGCCGCGTAAAACAGAGAGTTGTCGCGCGACAGACGGGGGTTGTCGCGCCGCTCCCGTTGCCGGTGGAGCCGCTGTAATTGATTAACAGGGGGGGCGAGCTGCTACAGGACTCGCGCTGCAGACGTGTCGCACTGCTGACGTGCCCGGTGGAGCCCGGCCGTAACTGTCTCGGACCCGGTCAGGAAAACGCGGTCCGAGCCGTGCTCTAGTGTGCTTACCTGTGTGTGCGCTTTGTGTGTGTGTGTGCGCGCGCGCATCAGGGCGAAACTCCGCCATGCGCGATACAGAGGGCAGAGGAGAATGGTAAACGGTGGTGCGCCAGTGTTAGTTGCATATAGGGGAAACACTGCTCTTTTTGGTATGAGTTCTTCTGGGTCATTCTGTACAGTTGCTTTGCTTTCAGGACTCTCTCCGGCAGCCATTCTCACCTCTAAACTTTTCTATGCTCTCACTCTCACCCGCTCAAGCGTGCCTGTGGTGTGCAGCGGTGAAATGGTTCCCCGCTGAAACACTTTCCTGCCGTGCACGTTCTGGACGTTGTTTGGGCTATTCACCGGTATTGCAGTATATGAAAAATTCATATCATAATTAAAATAAATACCGGTTTTCGGTACAAACCGGTATACCGCCCAGCCCTAAAATATAGGTCCATTTACCATTTACTTCTCACTTTGCCAAGCTTTGAAAAAAATACAGATGATGGGTCATGGATGTAGCAGTTAGGTAGCGAGCTAACAGGATACATGTTCTGTAAACTAGCTTGTTTTAGAGCTTTTCGACAGCATATTTCATGGTATTCTGAAGGCGGATGTTATTGGTGTCCGTCTGCATTCTGTCTAAATAAATCTAATCTTTGTATTGTAACATCAAGATATAACTTTCCAATTTTAACTCCTATCATGCATTGATGCAAAAATCTTACCAGACAAGATGCAGAGTTATTTAAGAGACAGATACCTCTGTTATGGCAAACTATCTGATATCTCACAGAACATATTATACCCAGAGGTTACATCAGTCCTCTCACCAGGTCCCTGATAAGAGCATTTTTCCCTGAATGTCAATTTCCTGTAGACAAATCAATCAAACAAGTGTTACTGTGTTAATGTATGTTATGTAGTTCCTTTCATGTTGAGGCCGGGTCTTGATGCCTCTCTCCTGCAGGTCAAGTCCGGTAAGTCTTTCCTGAAGGACTACTACCTCAAACATGGAGCCCTGAGTGAGAAAGACCTGGACGACTTGGTGACAAAGTCCAGCATGAGCTACGAGCAGGTGAGGGACTGGTTCTCTGAGACTGCCAGGAGGGTGGAGGAGGGCAAAGAGCCCTTCAGCGATGAGGAGGCCGAGGGAGAGGAAGAGGACGAGGAGGAGGAGGAGGAAGAAGAAGAGGAGGAGGAGGAGGTGGCAGCAGCAGAACATGCTGACAGCGAAGAAGGAGAGATGGAGGTGAAAGAACAAGGAGACGAGGCCACTGACGATGACTGCAATGAGGGAGAAGAGGAGAAGGAGGAGAAGGAGGAGGTGGAGGAAGAGGAAACGATCCAGGAGGAATCTGAAGGCGTCAGCCAATCACAGCCCCAGGCAGAGGAGCAGACATGAGCAGACAGGTGAGTGTTTGATTTTTTGTCTCACTGAAACTCAGATGGATTTGAACTGGTAGTCGTTCACACTTTAGTCTAAGTCTTTATGAAAAAGTTTACTTCAGTGTGCGCTTGTATTTGGTTCATTTAGATTCACACAGCTGCACACAGCATTACATGTCAATAACAACAAAAGGTGAAAAAAGACAGAAGAAATGGATGGATTTATAATCTATTTAGGCAAAGTTCTCACAGCTACTTTTGTACTTTTTTTGACACAGCTTTTTTTAAACCTTTATTAAATAGTATACTACGACTTTTTTAAAAACTTTTTTGATGTACTATACAATGACTTGAACTTTTTGGCAAACTATACTATTACTTTTTTTCTAACTTTAATGACTTTAAAATTTTTTTAAATACTTCACTGTGACTTTTGTTTTAACTTTTTAACATACTATAATATGACTTCTTTAACTTTTTGACCCACTGTACTATGACTTTAAAAAAAACAACCTTTTGACATACTATACCATGACTTTTTTAACTTGTAGACATATTATACTGCGATGGGTTTTTTGCACATACTACACTATGACTTTAATTTAAAAAAAAAAAAAAAACAACAAAAAACTTTGACATGCTATTCTATCTTTTTTTAAACACTTTTGGACATACTATCCTATGACTTTTTAAAAAAAGTTTTTGCCATATTATACTATTACATTTTTTGTTTACTTTTGGACATACTTTACGGTTACACTATTTAGTTTTTGACATACTATACTTTACACACTTTTTGACATACTATACGTTAACTTCTTTTTTCTGATACTATGACTTTTTATCATACTAAACCATGATTTATTTATTTTACTTTTTTAAACGTTTGGACATACTATGACTTTTTTTTTTTTTCCTAAACTTTTTGACATACTTTTCTATGATGTTTATTAACTTTAGGACATACTATATGATGACTTTTTTACTTAATGAAATACATGCTATTTGATAAAAAATCTCCAAACTCAAATGCCAAAGGAACAGATTAGATATGAATCTTAACTCCAATTAACCTGCCCATAACATTCTTAAAGGGCTGAAATGTAGCAGATGTTGGCATATATATATATATATGTATATATATATACACGTTACTCAATGCTCACACGTCTTTCTTGTGGTGATGATGTCACCAGCAAGACTGTATCTTCAAGAAACTGTACATAGTAAACTCATCTATACAAATGTCTTGTTCTCAACTACAGACAGTACAACGTACAATACATTGACTTTTTATGGGGATTTTTTTAATGACATACTTTTTATAACATACTATACTGTGATTTTTTTGTATTTCATGAAATACAACACTGACTTATGTTTTTAAGAAACTGTACAATGATTTTTGTTTACTTTTAGAACGACACTTTGACGTTTAATGATTTTTTTTACATTGATTTGCTATACTACGACTTTTTTTGTACTTTTTATCACATACTACATTGTAACATATAGGGATGCACCAAAATGAAAATTTGTGGCCGAAGCCGAATAAAATTAAACGCTTGGCCGAATACCGAATACCGTTGTTTAGTTTTTCATTAGTTTTTGCAGATGAACCCCCTCCAGATTAGTGTTGTCATGGTACTAAAATTGGGACCCACGGTACGATACCACAGTTCTGAGTAGTATCACGATACCACAGCGAAAATGAGGCGCATGTGCCTTTTGTCATTTATAAAACGATAAATCACTTCTCTATAATACATCAATGATATTTCAATGGAATAAATTACTTATTGACTTATTCACACTTCAAAAACAGCATCAATAAGTGATTAAAGGGCCAGTGTGTAATATTTGGCATGGTTTATTGTCAATCTGAATCTGAATCTGAATATTCTACCCATTAATATGTTTATACAAGTGTATGATCGCTATAAAATAAAATTCGTTTGGTTTTCGTAGCCTTATAATTATGCTTTTATATATATATATATATATATATATACGTATAGCAAGGGCCTTGCTTTAGAGAGATCGCCATCTTGCGCCGCCATGTATGTACGGCAGACCAAGTGGACAATCCAGCCAGCCAGAGAACGCGTTTCGCGTGTATAAATGAACCAACGAAGACAGCGGAAGGAAGGAAGAAGGAGG